CTTCTTCAGTCTCAGAGTTTCAGGCAAAATGCAGGCTTTTAAGCCCTGCCTCCATGTGACTGAAAAAAAAAAAGGAAGTTGTATTGTGTATGACGGTTCTTGTTCATGCATACTTCAGTAGTTCATAATTTCCTACTGCATGAGTTGTATTCATCCAGGCATTTAAACCATTTACAGAACAAGCTTTTTTTAAACTCAGAACATGAATTATTTTTAACTTTTGTGATTAAAAACATTGAATTGAATCTCATGTTTGAAGCTGTTCTGTAAATAACATTCAAACAAACAATACATATAGAAACTTCTGATCAATCCATATCATTTTCAGACTTAAAACAACGTTCAGTTTAAGCTTGCCAACTTTTGGTTAAGCCACACCCACATCTGGTTTATGCCCCCTCCCCCTCCGAGTACAGATACAGATAATTTAGATAGTTGAACAGATACAGATAGTGGTGTACTCGCTCATCCCTGTTAGCTTGTCAAAGTAAGCTAAAGCTAGCTGTCACGTTGTCTCGTCTTAAAAAAAACTCTCTCCTCCTGGCCACCCCTCCTCGCTCACCCCCCTCACCCCCTCAGAGTCTCCACTTTATGCATTTTTCAAATTTGCGTTGGGGGCGGAGTTATCCTTTCACGGAGGTGGGGGTTAACTTCCACTTTAAGCCTAACTTCCTTATGGTGGAGCCCCTGCTGAAATGGGCGTGACCAAAGTGGTTGGATTTTCTTAAAGTGACAGCGACCTATTTCAAGGRGTTTAGAAACTGTCAAGATGAGAAGTAAATTGTTTTGGGGATTTTACAAATAATATACTCTTTCATAAGCTGAAAATGTGACATAGTTTCTTTATTTTTGTTTAAAATTGAAATATAGGCTTGGAAAGCACATCACATCGCCCCTTTAAATATTTAGGAACATCAAACCAATTTAATGGCCCTGTATGAAAAAGTGATTGCCCCTAAACCTAATAGCTGGTTGGGCCACACTTATCAGCAACAACTGCAACAAAGTGTTTGCGATAACTTACAATGAGACTTTTACAGCATTTGGCTCACTCACCTTTGCAAAATTGTTGTAAATCAGCCACATTAGAGGGTTTTCAAGCCATGCCACAGCATCTCAGTAGGATTCAGGTCAGGACTTAGACTAGGCCACTCCAAAGTCAAAAGAGTGGAAACGAGATCAAGACGCAGCAGGCCATAGATCCTCCCTCTGCTCTCCCACAGCTCATATAAGTACATAAACAGCAATAATGATGGCTGGATTGTGTGTGTGTGTAGGTGGGGGGGCCATCACAATGATCAGTGTCATGTTGGGTGAAGAAGAGTTCTTTTTTTAACGGTGGTGATGGAAAAAGGACGTGAAAATCTGAAAATCAGCCGTGTGCTCACGTTCAGTAGGATCAAATCAGCTGCTCTTCTAGCTTTTTTAACAACTGGCTTCAGAAAAAAAAGTTTTAAGCAAAATAAGCTGCAGAAGGCAGAGCTGATCGACGTTTCAACTCCTCAGTGCTGCTGTAGAGTTTCTCATGAAGCCACTAAGTTTTAACCAACCACTCTGAGCCACAAGCTCCACAGAAGCCTGGTGATGCTGTAGTTGTGTGTGTGTGATTGTGTTCAAGCAGTGTTAGCCTTATTGTTATCATGCTAATGTAAAGCTGTAACAAACTTTRATTCAGTGCTAGCTGTTCCACCCTCRGACTGCTGCAGGGGCGTGTCTGAGAGAGAMGCTTTTATACCAGAACACAGCCGCTGTGATGAAAACATGAACTGTCTTAAACCAYTATATAAACTGCAGTACCACRGTTCAATCTATAGMATGCAGCAAAAAGACGTTTTTATACCAAATATTGCAGATTTTAACAAATGTGCACAAAAACATCAAAATTAGCACAGAAACAGTACTATATAACATATAAGACACAATTTAGAGTTAATTTTGGAGTAAGTGACTCTTTAAGCTGAAGTATCTGTGAGCAGCTTGCTATTCAGTAGTATGTAATTAGCATAAAACATGCATTGCAGTGAGTTTAAAACGCTTTAAAACAATTCAGTTAATTGCAGTTTCCCATTTGTAAGTGTGTTGGATACATTTCAGGTGCACAGAAACTTAATCTTAATCAGTTATTCTTAACTTGTTAACCTGTTGAGGCTCCCACGTACTCAGGCGTACTGTGTGCGCTCCGTGAGCCACGTGGATAATGTCTGCAGATGTTTGAGATTTCATACTCCAGCGTACTGACCTCCTGACAAATTCTTTAATTTCTCACAACTTCAGCCATGATGTCAAGGATCAGGAGGAAGATATAGTTTYCATCTTAGCTTTAAAACAACAAAAGAAAAAAGAAAAGAACTACCTTACCCTAGATCTGAGCTATTTGTGCTCGCTGAAAGTCCTTATTCCTTCATTGGCGTATTATAAAGTTTTCTAATTTCCTCCATGAGACGTTCTTCAAAATGTAACTCATTTTCATCCAAAAATGACACCGATTCTCAGCTTTATCAGCTTGGTGTCGCATCCAGAYCAGTTTGACGTGAACTTGCCGAGCAGTTTATTGTGTGACATRGTGTACGTAAAAAGTCCGGCAGATGGCTGCTTCGAGTCCACCTGAATATGTGGGAGTCTTTACAGATTCGGTCTGGTAACCTACATCTTAACAGATATGTTTTAAATTCTAATGTTTTTATTTGTGCTATAAACTACACTTACCATGTTTTCTCCAGGTTCTGTCTTTGATTAGTGAAGTCAGTGTTGTGTCTGGTTGTAGAAGCGTTCTGTCCAGTTGCACGGTCCTCCTCCGTGGTCCTGCAGGCAGTGGAAAGATGACTGTGGTCAGAGCGGCGAGTAGCAGACTGAACCTCCACCTTCTTAAGGTGCAACTGCAATTATAAAATGTATTACATGAATATAATTAGATATATAAAATATATTTGACTGTTGGAGTATTCAGCTGCAGTTCACAGCAGTCATGTTTCGTCCTGTTGTTTTGTGTGTAGGTGGACTGTGTGACCSTGTGTGCAGACACTCCTGCAGCCTCTGAAGCAAAGCTGGCGTCTGTGTTTCAGCGAGCAGACGCCCTGCAGCCCTGCATTCTGCTGCTCAGAAACCTGCAGCTTCTACTGACAGCTCAAGGATCCCCTGAAGACAACAGCAGAGTCCAGGCTGTGCTGTGCCAGCTGCTCAGCAGTGTCCCCACTAGGTCAGTGAACCACCTCTGTCCCACCAACAATGAATCTGAAAAATAAATAAAATTAAAATGCTCATTGCACTCAGGACATCATTTTACCATCTGACTTTACAATGCACACTCTGTAATGTATAATGTTGGTTATCAGTTTGTCAAGTTGGCAGAGATTTTTAGAATCCATGATTGCATTAATGTAGGCGTGGTCAGGCTTGGGTTGTATGATGAKTGATCAGAAGATGCCCCATAATGTTACAGGTGCATGTTCTGACCAACTCAAGTCACTTAGAAGACAAATGAGGGGTGGCAGAGTCTTAACCTGTGAGCAAGGTTAAAAAGAGGTCAATTTAAACAAATCTTTATAAATAGATTAAAGTGGGGGCTATAATACAAAATCATCATTTATGTGCATTTGAGAAATCCTTAAATGTCTTGTGGTATCCACGTGGAGCTGCCTAAACACTTACTGATACAAAGCATTGCCTGTTTACACTGATCTCCTCCCTGTGAAAATATCTAAAACTATTTGAACTTAAGCCTATTTTAAAACTTATCAGAGCACTGTGCAYTAAATAATGTAATGTTAGAACTTTACTTTTAGTATTGGGCATACTGGTTATATATGATTGTTAGTCTTGCACTCAGTCATGATGTATTTTGTACCAAATGAGGAATTACTAAATAGTTTTTTTTTCTTCTTGGCATCAGATGATCTGTTAAATATCTGTTCATTGTGAATCAAGTTAACTTTTACATTCTTAGTAAACTGCTGCTTTTGCAGAACCGACAGGCTTTAGGCTGTTTAGATGAACTGTAATCATCTTCCTGTTTGTGTCTCAGTGTGGTCGTGGTGGCAACAATCTGCAGAGCTCAGGATCTGTCAGATGGTGTTGTGGGGGCGTTTGTCCACCAGTTGGAGCTGGAGAGACCCACAGAGGAGCAGCGGCGCTCCATGTTGGTTAGCCTGACTCAGGAACTTCATCTGGGGAGAGATGTCAACCTGGAGAGACTCTCTAAACTCACTGCAGTATGCTGTGGTCCACTTCTTTTCTTCTTGTTCTGACGAAACTTTAGAGGTCTGGGGTCTAAAGGGCCGTMTTTGACTAACTTTGAATRTACCTCTATATTTTCACTTTAAAAACTATTTACCTTGCCATGTTTGGTGTCATTATTTTCAGCACAACCTCAGCTTTATGATTTTACAGTGTTTGTTTCATTGTGACATAGGGCTTTATCACAGTGGACCAAAATATCACAAAAAAAAAACTAAATCCGAGCAGAAAACAAATCTAAAATTAAAAATATATATAAAATATAAAATTCACAAATATATTTAACGAACATTTTCTTTTAACAATAATCAGACTCTGTAGTGTAAACTTGAAAAATATATATAAAAATGTATCAAAAACAAATATTTATGTTTTTACATCAAATATTGGGAAAATTCCCAAACTTTTTTTTACATTTGCAAAGTGGTTCACATCGACTCCACCTCAAATTCTGTCCAACTTCAAAATGTAACATTTTATTTGTTTGCAATTATTTATAAAGTCATTCTCAATGACTCCACTACAAATGATATCCAACTTCAAAATGACACAGTTTGTCATGTCCAGGTGTTCCTTTTGATCATTTCCAACATCCTCGTCAGGATTATTCAGGGGAATGTTCCAGTGATGGTTCTGAACCTCTCTTACCTTCCCTGGAGTTAGCACAGACACACAAAATGATTTTGTCTCCAGTAGTCCTGGACATTTGATGTGGACCTCACACAGACAGAGCTGGTCCACAACGCCACCTCCTCCTCCTCTTCATGGAAATAAACCTGACGGGTCATCCACCTGCAGATGTAAATTAGCTTGTATGATCTTGTGCAGTGCCACTCTGAATATTTTACTGTACATGTTCAGTGCCAAATAAACAAAGAAAGAAAAAAGACAAACCTCAACTCCGACGTGTCCGATTCATGTCCGTGCACGCCYCCATCATCATCCTTCTCCAAGTTCATAAAAGTATGCCAGAGTTTGATCGGCCGTCATACAACGATGATTCATGTTGACAGACAGACTAACAAAACTATTACACACACTGCACACAAACTCACACACACTAACACACTTATACAAGCAAACCAAAAACAGTGCTGAATAAATCCGGTATRGAAAAAGTCCACWACGCTCGGTTCTCTTCGTCTCTCTAAAACTTTCTCCTCCCGGGCGYCTCCCGCTCACTTTTTTCAGGTTTTTCCTGAGAAACGTTTTTGATTGTGGTGAAATGTGGTGCGTTTAATAAAATCTGAAAAATTGGTGTCATGTTGCATTCAGTCACTTTATGGTCACAAAACGTTGACTGAATGTGCAGCGAGGCATAAAAACGAGCGCAAAATGATGACGAAAATAATTTCTCATAAATCTCGTTTTATTTGGAAGTAAATAAAAACAAACTCAATAAAAAACACCTTTTTTATTGAGTTTGAAGTCCGTGCTATCAAACCCAGCTGAAATGAACGTTCAGCATGCTGTCATATTTATAACAGAAGACCTTTAAATGCATCACGTGTTTGCCTGCTCCAGAGTGGGCGTCGACCTCAGAGTTYACAAAACCTATTTTTGTTGGACTAGATGTTCCAGTGGTTAAATTAAATGCTAATGAGTATTGTACTTAAATCAGTTTAAACCTGATTAAACATTTGAGTGTGATAAATTAATACAGTTATATTAATACAATATTTAACATTATGAGATCAATCTAAAAAAATAATTTAGCAGTTTGGACATTAACATGATGAACTGTAAAAAACAAATGAGGCACTAATTTTATGACAACTATGCTACATTTCTCACTTTTTATAAAAAGAATTAATCTACTTTTAAATGATAAATGAAAATATGAAACGAAGGTGTTAATATTGTGTGGGATACACTGCAATCTAGTGGCACGAATGGGAAACTGCAATTAACTGAATTGTTTTAAAGCAGGGCTATTCAAATGTTTTTAAAAAAGACTAATTTTACAGTTATATGTTTTARATAGATGATTTGTGGCCAGGCTGTATAACTCAGTCTGTACATATCTGTTTAAWACAAAAAATAAATTTTAAATCTTACAAAAATCATGGATAATTTTGTGCTATTTAAAATCTATGGTAATTTATTTTCAATTAAATTTTACATGAGAAAAAATGTACATTGTTTAGAGCGTGTAGACTGTATTTATTTAGTTGCTGAATGTCCTCTGAACTGTTGGCTTTCAGTAACTGAAGCCCCCTGAACAATAGTGTTTAACACCCTCATGACCTTACACAGTATGACATTTGAACTACAACGTCTCTATCCCCAAACCTGGAAAATAAAGTAGAACACTTTTTTTTAACTAATTTTACTAATGACTCATATTAGGCAAGTGTTCATGTAATGTCCAACARCTAAACACAATAACAGGTCCTCTGTCTTGAACACATGCACAATTATTATTTTTTTATTTAATCTATGACAGTTGGCCATGTCTGCAGAGTCTGATGATGAGTTAATCACATAGATGTTTATTGTTTCCTGCTCGTTTCCTCTGTAGGGCTTTGTGTTGGGGGATCTAAACGTGCTGTTAGCTGAAGCTGGAAGGTCTGCCTGGAGGAGGTTGCTTCACATCTGGTGAGACTAAATAAAAAGCTCTTCTCTGTTTGACTGTAATCACTGATGTGTATAGTTTGAGTCCTAAGTTTATTTTAATGAATGCTTCGACATTTTAAATTTGTTTATATGTAGTAATTTTCTCAACAAACTTCCAAAGTAAGTGAGGGGGACAGATGAAGAGAAACGACAGGACAATCTCTTAGCTTTTAGTAGACAGAAAATACCAGAATGTGGAAAATCTTTGTAGTTAAATAAAGAAAGGTTGAACAATTTGTATTTATTAGTGGTGATAGAAAWTACAGATTGTAACTGAAATATGCCCACGTTTAATATGTGACATCTGTCATATAAAATAATAAAATAGAAAGTTTTCAGCACTTTGTTGTCACTCAGATAATGGAGCAACATAACAAAAATAAACCGTTGTGCTTTMAGTTACTACAACTTTCAGAAACCTTGAAAATATTTTCTTTTCTATATTTATTTATCTGTTTTTCCAATGTAGTTTCTCTACTACAAATGACAAATAAACTTGACCTTGTGAGCAGCGCTGACTGTAACTCAGGTCAGTACCTGGTCTCTGAGTTGTGGTGTTTGTGCAGTGATGGRCGGAGCCAGGAGGAGCTGTGTTCCAGTGGAGTGACCATCCTGAACSAGGACTTGACCTGTGCCCTGGAGACCCTGCATGACATCCATTCTAAAGCCATCGGGGCCCCAAAGGTGACACACAAGCCTCAAAACAAGCCTTTAAAGAATTTTATTGTAAGAAAGTCAGTCAGTCAATTGACGGTTCAAAATAATCAACCTTGAAGCATTCTTCTTACTCTTGGTTTATTACTCCATTTGCATTTCCATCACAATATTAATTTGCAGCTTCTGCAGTTAGAAAAATAAATCRAAACAAAAAATAAATCTAAATAAAATTGATATCATATATCCAGCCCTCTTTGGAGACCTTTAATGCAGGCATCCTGCAATCCATAGCATAAATTTATGGAATCACCACTCTTAGAGTACCTATATTTTTTCAGTTGTTAAAATAAATTACAGACTTGCCCCTAAACTATTCTTTTTCATCAAACAATAAAAAAAATGCTGTAGTTGGTCATAATTGCATTTTTAGTTGAAACAGAGGAAACTACCGTATTTATTCAAGTATAATACGTAAAATTTAATCCATAAAATCATGCACAAAGTTGGGGTGTYGTACTATACTTYYATCAARATTTTTACTTGTGTATTTTAACTGAAATATCAGCCTCATTCACAAAATGCCCGAGTCCAGAAACTGCATCGTAAAAAGCGGTTGAAGCGAGCTCACCACTGACACTCCTTCGTGCCTCCGAGTGAGATGGTAACAGATCCAAGCAGGTGACATGACGTGAAAAAATAATCAAAAAGACAGTCCTGCAGCTTAGTAATGATAACGAACTAATGATATTAATGTGCGACCAGGCCGCTCCTGGAACAACAACAAACACATGGTCGGCTATAATGGCTGCCATCTACCAGTGTTCTGTAAAAGTTGGTCTACCTGAATAAGGTTTCCCCACCAGAGGGGGCGCTGGCGAGACACAGGATGGGATTGTTGCTGAGTGGGACTCAGAGGAGGATTACCAGAAACTTTAAATGATACTGATGATGGTGAGCCTGATTTTGAAGGCTTTTGATTCAGCTTCATCCACACTTGTTAGAGCCTCATAGCTCTATCTGTTTGTTATATCACACCAGTTAACAAATGAGCATTGATAGTTTTTCTTATAGTCACAGGTCCTTCTCAAAAAATTAGCATATTGTGATAAAGTTCATTATTTTCTGTAATGTACTGATAAACATTAAACTTTCAGATTCATTGCACACCAACTAAAGTAGTTCAAGCCTTTTATTGTTTTAATATTGATGATTTTGGCAAAAAAAGTAAAGAAAAATCAAAAATCCCTATCTCAAAAATTAGCTGAGTCAAAAGACAAAGCTGTCAGTTTTACCTGTCGGTCTACATCCAACCCTCACCTATCCATTTCTGCTTTTTGCTTTAGCTTAGGACAAAAAAGGAAAATGAAATTCTAAATGACAGAAAGAATCTGAATGTCAGGCTTTAGAGAAGACAGTTGATGTATGTTGGTATTTCTGTAGCTGACTAACACTCCCAAAGTGTTTTCTTTGTGATTAGTTGTTTAGTGCTCAGCTGTATGTAAGAACCCTGTGTGTGCAGATCCCTAACGTGTGCTGGGAGGATGTGGGGGGTTTGGAGAGCGTAAAGAAAGAAATCCTGGACACGATTCAGCTTCCCCTGCAACGTCCCGAGCTCCTTTCTTTGGGTCTGAGTCGGACTGGAGTCCTGCTGTATGGACCACCTGGGACAGGAAAGACTCTTCTGGCCAAGGCTGTGGCCACTGAGTGCTCCATGACCTTCCTCAGGTGGGCTTGTGTCATTGTTGTAAAAGTGTATGRTGAAGAGAAGCTGTGAGACTTTACAGCATCTAGATTTCTGTTTAATAACGAACTATGGTTCTGAGCATTCCTCAGTGCTAAAGCTCTGTGATTGTTTTCTTACCTGCTTAAGTTTTGTTGTTGTTTTTTTCTCTTCTAGTGTCAAAGGTCCAGAGCTCATCAACATGTATGTGGGTCAAAGTGAAGAAAACATCAGAGAAGGTTTGTAACACATTTTACATTCCTCTGCTTTATTTGAACCTAAATGTTAAATATGTTTGTGTTTTCTCATAATAATAATAATAATAATAATAATAATAATAATAATACAGTAAAGCAACATTAAGAACATGAATTCCACGTGGCAGATTACTCTTTTAATTCCATTTCAGTGTCAGACTGTGTTTTTTAGTTACATGTAAAGTCACTATTCTTTCTAAAAGTCTTATTTCATCATGAGTGGACTAATGTGGATCTTGTACAGTGTTCCACAGAGCACGSTCTGCAGCTCCCTGTGTTGTCTTCTTTGATGAACTGGACTCTCTGGCCCCCAACAGAGGACGCAGTGGAGATTCTGGAGGAGTGATGGACAGGTGAGTGTCTACCTGCTCTGATTCAAGGTCAAATAAATTGATCAAAAATTACCAGGAGCTCCAAATGTTCTGTTGCTGGTACGTTGTGTTTCAGAACAACCTGTTTCTAACACAGATTGACTCCTTGTTGTCTTAAATTTAAAACAATATTTTTGGTCATGTTTACTTCATCTTTAACTGCACAAGTTACAGATTTGTCTTCAGCAGCATTAAAACGATTGAACTGGATGTGTTTGCACAGAGTTGTGTCTCAGCTGCTAGCTGAACTTGACACATTGCACTCATCTGCTGGGGTTTTTGTGATCGGAGCCACAAACCGTCCTGACCTGCTGGACCAGTCGCTGCTCAGGCCGGGCAGGTTTGAACATTTTCACAAACACACTGTAAAGTTTTTGTCACGTCAAAGGATGTTACACTGACTCATAGGAGCTAAAGGCAGCGGGGGTTAAAGGGGCAATATCATGTAAAATAAACTTTTTTGAGCTTTATATCATGTTATAATGTTATCCTCTCATCAAAAACATGCCCAGAGTCTTGCTTTGACTCATTCATGCATGTTTGAGAAATCRAGTAATGTCCTGAGGCAGACAGGCAGGGGAGCAAAAACCTCCAAAAGCCTCCCCCACGACTCCTGCAGGTTATCGGCAGCAACAACCAGCAAACACCTGGTGAAACCACGTCTGCTGAGCTTGTAATACTAACTACTTCCAAGTCCAGTCCTTTTCAGATTAAAAATGCCTTTGAGGAAATGTATTTCCAGATGCCAAGGAAACGAGCTTCCACATCACAGCAAACCCCACCCCCGTGACTCCTGCAGGCTATCAGCAGCAGCAAAACAAACAAACACCTGGTGAAACCACGTCTGCTGAGCTCCAATACTACAGTGCCTTGCCAAAGTATTCGGCCCCCTTGCATTAATACTTTGTAGCAACACTTTTGCTGCGATGACAGCTGCAAGTGGCTCAGGGTATGTCTCTATCAGTTTTGCACATGGAGAGACTTCCTCCTTGTAAAACAGCTGAAGCTCAGTGAGGTTGGATGGAGAGCGTTTGGGAACAACAGTTTTCAGCTTTTTCCACAGATTCTCGATTGGATTCAGGTCTGYACTTTGGCAGCACGACGGCTCAGTGGTTAGCACCGACGCCCCACAGCAAGAAGGTCCTGGGTTCGATCCCCGATTCGGACCTGGGGTCTTTCTGTGCAGTTTGCATGTTCTCCTCATGCTTGTGTGGGTTTTCTCRGGGTACTCCGGTTTCCCCCACCCCCAAAAACATGTACAATAGGTTGTCTTCAGGACCAGGCCTCCCTTGAAAAAGAGATCTGAGATCTCAGTGGGACTTGCCTGGTAAAATAATGGCTAATAATAATAATAATAATAATAATAATTGACTTGGCCATTCTAACACTTGGATACGTTTATTTGTGAACCATTCCATTGTAGATTATGCTTTGTTTTGGATCGTCTTGTTGGATGATAAATCTCCGTCCCAGTTTCAGGTCTTTTACAGACTCCAACAGGTTTTCTTCCAGAATGGACCTGTATTTGGCTCCATCCATCTTCCCATCAATTTGAACCATCTTCCCTGTCCTGCAGAAGAAAAGCAGGCCCAAACCATGATGCTGCCACCAGTAGYGATGGTGTGTTCAGAGTGATGAGCTGTGTTGCTTTTATGCCAAACATATTGTTTTGCATTGCGGCCAAAAAGTTWGATTTTGGTTTCATCTGACCAGAGCAGCTTCTTCCATGTTTGGTGTGTCTCCCAGGTGYCTTGTGACAAACTTTAAACAACACTTTTTATGGATACCTTTGAGAAATGTCTTTCTTCTTGCCACTCTTCCATAAAGGTCAGATTTGTGCAGTGCACGACTGATGGTTGTCCTATGGACAGACTCTCCCACCTCAGCTGTAGATSTCTGCAGTTCATCCAGAGTGATCATGGGCCTCTTGGCTGCATCTCTGATCAGTCTTCTCCTTGTTCCAGATGAAAGTTTAGAGGGACGGCCGGGTCTTGGTAGATTTGCAGTGGTCTGATACTCCTTCCATTTCAATKTGATCACTTGCACAGTGCTCCTTGAGATGTTTAAAGCTTGGGAAATGTTTTTGTAACTTCTGCACAACAGTGTCTCAGACCTGCCTGGTGTGTTCCTTGGTCTTCATGATGCTCTCTGACTTTAAACAGAACCCTGAGACTATCACAGAGCAGGTGCATTTATACAGAGACTTGACTCCACACAGGTGGACTCTGTTTYTCACCATCAGTCATTCAGGACAACCTTGGATCATTCAGAGATCCTCACAGAACTTCTGGAGTCAGTTTGCTGCACTGAAAGTAAAGGGGCTGAATAGTATTTTACGCCCCACTTTAGAAATCTCAGAAAGAAATTTGCAAAACGCATTCTTGTTTTTCCCAAAGGAAAGGGGCACAAAACYTGAAGCAACACCAYCAACTAGACAGGGTGTTTTTACAGGGATGGCCCATGGTTTTACCTTTGTATTAAACAGCGATGTCTATAATATGCCTCAAAAGCTCAACGTCATTTAAATGAATGCTGCAGTAATCTTGTAAATGCTGGTGCATGTGGGGGTCATGTTACCGCTATGATGTATCTAGTTTTGGTATAGGGTTGAATTATATGCCTGAGAAACACGGTATTGCCCCTTTAAAGGAATAAATTTAGCTTCTGTTGAACATTTTAAAACTTTTTCACTGAGATTAGCAACAGCATAGAACATCATCTCACAATCTTTTCATGAGAGCTTCAGCTTTAGATGAGCTTCAGTGTATCTCTTAAAAATGGCTGAATTGCAAAGACAACAGGTTSAGGAGGGACACTCAGACATCCCTCTACCCAGCAACACTCAGCTTCTCCAAGGCTTTTAGACAAAGAGGAGACTAATCCCTTCTGTGAGTTCTGGATTTTCCTGGATCCCTCCCTCACAAAGGCTACGTTCACACTGCAGGTCTTAATGCTCAGTTGTGATTTTTTGAAAAAAATCCGATCTTTTTGTGTGAACGTTCACATTACATTTTAAATGTGAACGTTCACATTACATTTTAAATGTGAACGTTCACATTACATTTTAAATG